TATTTTTAAAAATTAAAAATAAAAAAGATCTTATTATAATGTTGTCTAGGCTATCAGACAGCTATTCCTTGGGAATTTCAGCAATTAAATGACCTAAAGAAATCTCTAGGCCTCCCCGGTGGCGCAGCGGTTGAGCGCTGGGTTGCGAAGCTGCCCTCAGCCTCTGCAGCGCCAGTTCGATCCCCGGCTGGCTCCCCGGCCACCGGAGGAGGGTCCCACATGGCGCGCAGACCTCTCCTGCCGCCCACTGCTCCCCTCAGCAGTGTACTTCAGTCCTTCTGCCTGCTCTGCTCCCTGCTCTGGCTCTGGTGAATTCTCTCACCCTCCCGCGCTTCTGACTGTACCCAGTGCATGTGTAAACAGAACAAACAAACAAACAAACAAATAAATAAATAAACATGCCTCTATTAAAAAAAAAAAGAAATCTCTATATTATAAAATACTTAAATATGTGTAATCTATATTTAATACTATCTATATGAGCCTTGTTACATCAAGACTTCAAAGTACTGAGTCCTTTGTTTAAAAAACCTTTCTACTGATGCCCAAAGAAAAGCTTTTTCCCTTTGAAAGTGTAAAAATGATTAAGAAAATGGTATCTGCCACTAAGAGCCTTCAAGTGTGACAATTAAAATCCAGTATGATGCTTCCAAGAGAATTATACCCCGTCCTTTAAGAGCACACGGGAGAAGCACCAAACTCAGCCTGGTGGATCCTGTTGGAATACCCTCAGACCTAAATCTTGAATAATAACCCCTAACACTAGACTTTCCATGCACAGGGAGGCATTAAACCACTGGGCTGATGCAGGAAACTCCAAGTTCTTAAATATGGCTGCAGCATAAGGAAAGAGAGAAAGACGCACAGTTCAGCTGGAGAAAAGATAATTGAAATAGTAATGGAGGCCCCTACTTGCCATGCTAGCTAACATTTTTTGAGCACTTGCTATGTTCCAGGCATCCTACTACGTATTTTCTTGCTTTCCATCCTTATAACAACCCACTGAGTAATTATCATGCAATTGACAGAACAGGCAAGAAGAGGTTATATCATTTGTCAATACTGCCGAGGTTTCAAGCGGCAGAGGCAGAACTGGAACCCAGTTCAAATTAAATCCTAAATGTGAGTTCCCACTCTCCACTCTGCTGCCTGTCTTAATGAAGACTGCTAGGGGGAGCCATTGAAAGGTTTTTAAACTAAGGAGTGAAGCGATCAGATTTGCTCTTTTAAAAGACACTATAGAAGTTGGGGGGGGGGGAGCATTCCAGAAGCAAAAAGAAAGCTGCAAATGCTTTTAATCCAGGTGAGAAAAGATGAGCACTCGAACCTTGGCAGTGAGGATGAAGGAAACAGATTTTGCAGAAGGGAAAATGGGCAGTTCTAGTGATTAGATGAAAGGGGTTACTATGAGAGAGGAATCCAGAAATCTGTCCTGGGAACTAGCTGGGAAATGATATCATCAACCAGGAATAGAAAAGCAACAAGTTGTTTGTTCAATAAATAACTATTAGGGTGTCCCCCAAATGCAAGACTTTCCTAGGCCAAGGGTCAAGTCTGAATTATGGTCCAGGTTGCTAGAAAATATTCCAGACAGCAAATGACAAAGCATTAAAAAACATAGGGCAGATTTAAAATGAGTCATTACTATTAACACACTTGGCCTAAAGTCTAGAAAAAAACATTTTGTGCTACCATTTAAAAAAATATATTACTACATGCAGAAAACAAATCAATAGAGGGAAAGCATCCCATAAGTTTACAATGTTACTGTATTTTAGTTTGACAGATCTTCAATCATTTACACAACACAAACATACAGTTTCACTTACCCCTCTCTCTCTAAGCTTATATGGGAAAATATAGATCTATTTTATTATCCAAACAATAGTACGTATTTGAGGGTTTTTTGGTCCCACTACCACCACTGTGACTTGCCAAGAACGTAGTTCATAACCTCCTACTTGACTTCCTATAAAATATGACCTACTTCACATCAGCTTATTTCAGCAACAATTCCTAGACTTTAACCACACCTTTCATCCAAGGATGCTCATTGTAAATCCTAAGGTACAGCAATCCTGTGCAGATGTGGCAAGTTATTACAATTCCCATTTTACTACATAGTTAGGAAACTGACCCAAGGGAAGCAGAGTAACTTGGAAATAATCACAAATGCAGATGCCAAAAATAACAACTTTTAGTCAATCCATGAGAAAATACTGCCCCTAGATGCAATAACATGAAATTCAGCATTAGGAAGAAACAAAATGCAAAATAATACTTAAGGCCAAGTCTAAGGATTTTAGAATTCATTTTTTTAAATGACAGAATACTAGAATTAAGATTTGTAAGACCTTTCAAACACACCATTTTTTCCCTAATGTCTTATCCATCCAGAGTGCCAAAGATTCCCTAATGGATTACAGCTAGCAAGAGTAACTACCCCCAAGTCATTTACAGTCTCAGCCACTTAAAAAAATAGATAGTATATGACAACAGATAACTTTTTAAAGAACCAAACTACTTAAAAAGCTGGTACCTAAAAGCATATTGCAAAAGATCTGAAATACTGCAAATGAGCCTCTTTAATTTTCCCCTGAAAATAAACTCTTCGTAGCTTCATCTGCTACATGCATGTACAATAAATTTTTAAAGTTTTAATAGTCAATACTCAGAATGAAAGTTTCCCAACCACAACTCATTCCATGTGTTTCTAAATATGCTGCTGTTTGATATAAGTTAGTAAAGGCACCGTTTTAGTTGGTCATGAAATAAAGGTCTTACATGACTTAGGTGAAAAACAAATCAAATTGCATGAGCCTGCTTTTGTGTTTATGTGATCATCCTTCACAAGTCAGAGCAAAATACCTTGTTATTATACCATATTTATACTTTGCCTAGTCAAAACCGAGAGCCCACTCAAAATTTTACCTTCAAAAGAATGATTAGGCACCGAGAACAAGTAACAGGCTGGCGAAATGATTATTGGGTAAAATCTACTCAAATTTTCACCGAAACTCCATAAATCAATCTGGAAACATGATTTTCATTATTAAAATTCAAAGTACAAATTCTAAGCACAGTGCTCAAAAAAAAGTGTTTTCCAATGCACTAACATTCATCATGCTAGATCTTGTATATATCCTGTGTAAGTAGCACTTTCTGGGGAACTTTACAAGTGAAATTACACTTCAAATGATTTTATGGGCAAACATATCTTCCAAAAGTAGTGCTCAACTAGTAGGAGAGGAAAATACTTCCTAAGCAATTTCTTGGGTCTAACAAAAAACCTCTAGTGCTCAGTACCAGAATATTCAGGACTCTTAAATAAACCACGTCACCCACCTCCCCCAACCCCCAGCTCTTATATTACCATAACAATAAGAACTCTGAATAACTTAACTCTCCTTTAACATTAGAAGTGCCTTTACCTTACCTAAGATTATTACTTAAATGTCTTTTAATTGCATTTGATTCAATGACCCCACAAAAGATTCTAGAAGCAGGACTCAACTAGAAATCGCACTCTTCAGCTTTTTCCTCATTTCAATTCCGATGAGGCATAGGGGCTGTCACAATTTACACAGTAAACTATCTAGTGATTTCTTAAAAGTAGAACATTTATATCAAATTCCCAAGCAAGATGTGTAACTTTTTTCCTTCCAAAGGCGTTACTGATAAAATAACTGAATTGTACACCTAGAGGTTCAGAAAAACACTGGAATCCTCCACCCGAACATTCACAAATGTTTAACATCTAAATTCACTCAACCGCTAATCACACACCAAAGGAATAGCCAGTGCGGCTAATCTGAAACTATTCTCACATGTCAACAGAAAAAAAATAGCGTGCGTCTCCTGCAACCGTCCTAGAATACCCTCAGGTAACCCAGATGCGGAGCTGCGACAGCTGCCCTTGGCCTAGGCCGTCAAAACTCCACGGGGGGAGGGAGGATTTGCTAGAACCGAGAGACCAGATCTTTTTCCAGGGCTACTGTTTCCAAGCAAAACAACCACAGGCCCAAAGAGACGGCGAAGAAAACTGGAGACTCGTAATCCCGAGAGGAAAGAGGGGGGCGGGGGGTGGGGGGGGTGGAGACGTGCACGTAATCCCGAGAGAAAGGGGTGCCGAGAGGAGAGGCGCTGAAGAGCAAACTAAGTACCCCCATCTTTCGGACCCACAAAAACAATAACAAACCTTAAGAGTCTGTCTGCACGTAAAAGCACCAGATGGAGTCCCCGGGCTGAGACAGCGCAGCCAACACACTCCGTGGGTAGTGGATAAATCAAGCGATGGTAGGAGAAGGGGGTGCCGAGCAAACACGCTCAAGGATGGGGAAGACAAAGCCTCCGCGGGTGCCCGAGGACCCACCAGAAAGGTGAGAGGGAAACCCACAATGAAAACGCTGGGAAAATGCAAAGAGCCGCACAGAAATCTGGTGCCCGGACGGCGGCAGGTCACTGACCCCCCAAGTAGCAAGGGGCACAACAAAGGCGCACGGGAGGAAGGACAGCGCCGGGGAGAAGATGGAGAAGGGATGCGGGGAGCGCCGGGGCGGACAAAGCGCCCGGGGCGGGGAGACAAAGGGCGGGGGTTGAGTCGCGGGGGGCAGCGGGAGAGACAAAGCGCCCGAGCTGGGGGCACCGGCCCGGCGAGCGCGCGACGCCGGCCGGGAGGAACAAAGCTGCGGGGCGGGGAGGCAGGGCCCGCGGGCGCGGGGCGGGGGGCGCGCGGCGGGCACGGCGCCCGGGGCCCCGCGCGCCCGCCCGCACCCGCCGGCCTCGCCGCCGCCGCCCGCCCTCACGCGCCGGAGCCCGAGCCCCGGCGGCGCCGACCGGGCAGCCCCGGCCCGCGCCGCCCCCGCGCCCGGCGCGCGCGCCGCCGCCCCCGCGGCCCCCGCCCGCCGCGCGCGCCGCGGCCCCGCGCCCGCCGCCCGCCGCGGGCAGCGAGACGCCCGCAACTTTCCCGGCTCCCGGCGCTCCGGGTCCCCCAGACTTACCCTGTCACAACAGGCGCCATCTTCCACAAACTCTCGCCAAAACTCCAACCCTCGCGAGATCCCCGCCGCCGGCCCGGCCGCGCCCCCGCCCCTTCCCTCGCTCCTCGCGGCTCGCGGCCACCCAGCCCCGCGCGCCGTCGCCCCGCGCGGCCGCCGCCGGGAGCCGGACGCCTCGCGCCGCCCGCGGAGTCGGCCCCGGCGCGCCGCCGGCCTGGACACCTACCCGGGCGCGGGAGCATGCGCAGGCGGCCGCCCCGCGGGCGAGCCCTCCGCGCGGTCCATGGGGAGCGCTCCGGGATCCGGGTTTTGGGGCGCGCCCTGAGGGACGTGCGCGGAGAGGAGGAAAACCGGAGGGGACCGCGGCGGGGACGGGGAATGGAGGGGTCAGGGGGCGGGGCCGCGGGGGAGGGGTCCTGAGAAAATGCGCCGCGTCTCGCGGGCCCGAGGAAACGCCTCCTCCGCGGGGTGCTTTCCGCGCGGCTTCCCGCGCTCCCGGCCCCGTTCATTCACCCGCGCGCCCCGGGCCGCCCGCGGCAGGTGCCGCGGCCCCGGCGGGACCGGCGCTCGGGCGGGGCGCGGGGCGGGGGCTGCGGCCGGGCCGGGAGGGGGGGCCCGGGACCCCGGGGCGCTCGCACGGCCGCCCGCGCTCTGCACCCCGCGGGGAGGACCGAGGCGCGGCCCAGGCCCTTGGCGAGGACGCCTCCGCTGCCCAGCTCGCTGCACGCCCGGGCGCGCTCGGTGTCTGCAGCGGGGAGACCTGCCCTGCAGCCGGGGCGGCCCCCCCACCGCCCCCCGGGTGCAGGGCGCTGCCTGCTGCGCGAGCCTCCCCCGCGGCCCCTCGCAGCCCCAGCCGTGTGTGCGCACAGGTGTGAGGGGGAGCGGGCCGGCCAGGTCCTCCCGCGGCGCTGGAAGCGCTCGTGGCCGCGCCGAGGCCGGGCCGGGCCAGGCAGCCCCGAGCCAACTGGGCCCGTCTGGGCCCTTCATGGACAGGTGCAGGGCGCGCACCCTCCTCCCCTGCCCACCTGCAGCACCCCTGCCCCCACCCCCCGCCACCCCGCCCTCTCAATTCCTAGAGATTCCCAGATCCAGCACTGCCTCCTTCAGGGAACCCCAAAACCCGGAGAACTGGAATCCTCCGGCCGAAACCTGCGGCAGGCGCTGCAGGATTGGCGCCACCCGCGCGGGCGGCTCTGCGCATGCGCCCACTGCGGGCAGCCCAGTCTCACGCTACCCCGCCTGCCCCCGCCCGCCGCGGCTCCGCGCAGACACAACACGGGCCGTGGGAAATTTCCGAAGCCTCGCGAGAGCGCGCCCGCCGCTGCCTGGGCGTCCGCCCCAAATCTCGCGGAGCCCGGGCGGGACAGGTGTCCGTCCAGAGCGGCGCCCGGCGCTGTCCGTGCCGCGCGTGCCCGGGCGGCGGGAGCGGCTGGGGCGGAGGCGGGGCCGGGGGGCGCGGGGTGCGGGGCTGGGGGCCGCCCGGGGGAGGCCCGCGGCCTGGAAAGCGGGCGCGTCGAGCGACGTTTGGGGGACAGGAGTGGTGGGGGGACCCCCAAGGTGGAAGGGGAAGCCGGGAGATGAGCAGCCCCTCGGGGTGCCCATGGGCAGAGCTCACCCTCCTGAGGAGGAGCCCCGGGCCGGGCCCCCCGGGAGGTTTCCAGGCGCCCCGCGAGAGCCTGGTACTTTCCTGAAATGTGGGAGACGCCGCCCCCCGGCCTCCGGAGCTGACATCCCCGGGTCGGGTTTGAGTCAGGGGCATGAGTCACCTCGTTGGTCACCGCTTGACTTGCTGTGAAACGAGTTCGAATTCCTTTAACGCCTCTCTCCGAGCAGGGGTTGCTTGCTGTCCGCTGCCCCCGCTGGCCTCGAGAGTTGAGAAGGAAAAAACAGCGCTCTCCGGGCTCCCTTTGTTTGCTTGTGTGGATCCCAGCTCTCATTCAAGTGCATCATTTACAAAATTTCTTGCCCCTGATCTTTTCCTAGACCTTTGAAGTAACCCCTAATAGCAATTTCCATTCTTTCTTTTTCTGTTTCTTTCCTCCTGCTGATATGACTTAAAAGACTGGTTTTGCTTTCCCTCACCTTTCTATGTATTTGTTGAAATACTCATTCTGTTTAGGTATTGTTTCATCGGATACTTAGTGCCAACTCTTTTAAGCACATCCCATCTTTGGGGATGATTGATTGATTGATTGATCCAGTCAGTTCCTGCCTACAGTCTGCAATGAGGCACATTTCATGCTGCTCTCCTATGGTCTCTGCACCAACCTAGTCTGGTTTTGTGCAGGAACTGGTGTCTTGGGAACATCATAAGCCCTAAATGAAGAGTTAAATTGAATTTAGGCTTTTGGAAGACAGTGAGTCTTTTAATAGGGGATTAGGTTTTGCTGGTTATGTAGAGGGGCCCCTTATGTAGAGGGGCCCCCAGCCCCTCCACATAACCAGCAAATGATTAAGTCGTCGTCAAGGTTGTTAGTTTTACATGTGTGTGCACTTTTCTATTCCTTTGGTTACAGATTTTACACAGAAGATGTAAAACATACATTATGTCAGTGCCATTTTGATTTAGAACAGGCTGGCTCAGGACAATGCCCATGGGCACCCATTGCTTGGAGCCTGCATCCCAAGGAGGCATCTCAGTCATGACATAGTCCCTTATGCTAATTAGAACCATTGCCATCGGGCCTCCCCGGTGGCGCAGAGGTTGAGCGCTGGGCTGTGAAGCTGCCCGCAGCCTCTGCAGTGCCAGTTCAATTCCCGGCCGCCAGCGAGGGTCCCACATGGCGCAGCAGACCTCTCCTGCCATGCCTGCTGCTCCCCTCAGCAGTGTATTTCGTCAGTCTGCCTGTTCTGCTCCCCACTCTGGCTCTGGTGAATCCTCTCACCCTCCAGCACTTCTGACTGTACCCAGTGCTTGTATAAATAAATAAAGAAATCTTTAAAAAAAAAAAAAAAAAAAGAACCATTGCCATCAAGAAGCCCACTGCCCTTGGAAAGTCACAGTAACCACAAGTCAAATCACAACTCATCTTCACTTTAAAACATGCTCAGCCTGGAGTCTTTCTCCGTCTCAATAAGTGGCAACTCCATCCTTCCATTTATTTAAACCAAGAACCTTTTGCATCATTCTTTCTCCTTTTCCTCTCATATCTAGCACTTACCCTAGCAAATCATTCTGGCTCCACTTTCAAAATAGACACACAATCCAAAGACCTCCTTGGCTACAGGGCAGTCTTGACTAACCCATCTCATTTCTTGCCCGGCTTGTAGGAAGACCCTTCACTAGTTGTCCCTTCCATTCTTGCCTTCCCTTAGTCTGTTCTCAATAGAGTACAGAGTAACCTTCCAGCGCTCTGTAATGGTTTTCCCATTCCGTTATGAAAACCTGGGTAATCTGGCTTCCCTGGCCTCACCAGTTCCTCTTCTGCCCCTTGCTCACTGAGCTGTAACCAGTAGCCTTCCTTGCTGTTTCTTGGACACGCCAGACACACTCCAATCAGCCTTTGCTCTGTCAGCTGCCTGGCATTCTTTTCCCCTCAGACACCTGGTGTCTCCTTCTTTCACTGTTTTCAGGGTTTTGTTCTAATGTCACCTTCTCAGTGAGACCTCCCTTGACTATACTCTATAAAAGGGACCCCCTCATGGTTCCTATCCTGTCCTCCTCCTTAATTTTTCCCTTGACATTGATCATAAACTAACATATATTGTGTTTCCTATCTGCCTTCTCCCACTACAATGTAATCAATGCAGGTAAGGACTTTGTGCATTTTGTTTATTGTTCAAGTCTTGGCCATGAGAAAACAAAGCCTGGAGCAGGAGGGGCACTCAGTTGGTGTCTGGAGAATGAATGGGGGTGCCTTTAGAGCAGCTTTTTCTGCAAAAAAATTCTTATTCCTAGTTTAAACCAGTAGGTGTGCCTATACTTACTTAAAGGATTTCCTTTTTTTTTTTTTTTTTTTTAAGATTTATTTATTTATTTATTTATACAAGCACTGGGCACAGTCAGAAGCACAGGAGGGTGAGAGAATTCACCAGAGCCAGAGCGGGGAGCAGAGCAGGCAGAAGGACCGAAGTACACTGCTGAGGGGAGCAGTGGGCGGCAGGAGAGGTCTGCGTGCCATGTGGGACCCTCCCCCAGTGACCAGGGAGCAGCCGGGGATCCAACCGGCACTACAGAGGCTGAGGGCAGCTTCGCAACCCAGCACTCAACCGCTGAGCCACCGGGGAGGCCCGGATTTCCTTTACTTTTAACCATTTTAGAACCCTAAAGAAGAATACACTATTGGCAGGATATAAAACATGTATTCTCAAGGGTTGCTAGTGGGACTGAAAATGGGTGTAATCTTTATGAAAACCATTTTTGATAAAATATCACTACCTATTAACCATACAGTTCCATTTCTAGAAGTGTATCCTTACAAATATACTGACAGGTGTGAAACTCTATATTGTAGTGTCATTTATGGCAGATAATATGGGTAACAACCTAAATGTCAGTCAAGAGATGCCTTTTAAAAAACCCATGATAGATGGAGCTGGAAGGGATCATGCTCAGCGAAATAAGCCAGAAAGAAAAAGAAAAATACTGGATGGTCTCACTTATAACAGGAATCTAGAAAACCTAAATATGGACCAGGAAAAAGAATAACTATAAGAAAGAAAAAAATCAAAATCAACAAACAACTATGAACCAGAGACACTCTTTGTGGGGGGAGGGTTGGAAAGGAGGGATTGGGGTCAAAATCGGGGTTGCAATTGTATGGGGAATATAAAAATAAAAAAAAAATTAACAAATTTTTAAAAATTTAAAAAAATTTTAAAAGATTACGTTAAATATTAAGTGTGGGTTGAATAGTAAATACTAAAAATAAAAGTTATCCAAAAGTGAAAAAAAAAAAACCCATGATGTATTCATAGAATTAAATAGTATTCATCTATTAATAGAGTCCACTTTTTATGTACTTATGTGGAAGGATCACAAAGTTTTTTTAAAAGTACAAAGCAGTGAGAGATAAATATATACTTATTTGCCTACATGT